AGGAATTTATATATGTTTTGTTCCGAAAAATGAACATTTTCCGGAACGATAATGGAGCTATAATCTGAAGAAAGTCGGAATACGTTTTTCGAAAGATTTTTATAGGGAAATAGTTTCGTAGAATAAATGTAATTGTTCATAAATATTGTAGTAGACCTGGCATATATGGACATGACCAAGAATCGTGCCCTCTGACTCCAGTCAACTGGCAAGAATATGTGCAACATGTGTCAAATCTTAATGTACAACAATAATTTGGATGATGTTTCTTAGCACAATAACACGGTAAGATAAATATCCACGGATCTGATTTCGCAGCCACTATTGCTATGCTAAAATAAAATAAAAATATTGATTTCTTAAGCCAATAGTAAATACTTTTTTTTTTCAAGCATTTAAGCCACATAAGACATTTTAAATCAATAAAACTTTTGATCGATTGTTATTCAACTCATTAATAGGTAATATTGGCCGTTAGAGTTAGATTATAACAGAGAAATAAATTATATTATGTCAACATAATTGTACTATGTCGACATCAACTAGTAAAAATGAAGACTTTACTGTCGAAATTAAAACCGAAGAAAAAGAACCTGAAGTTAAAGAAGGAATCTGAAGACAAAGAAAATGAACCTAGAAAATATCTGGCAATTAGTCCTGAAGGCGACTTTCTAGTCGAATTTGTAGTAAAAAAATCTTGGTAAATGCTTTGCAAAGCAACTGTTTAATTAAATGATTAGTATTATTAATCTTATTAAGTAAAATCTTTCAGTGTTACACGATGCATGCACTGTCACGTTTAGAATAGCCTGTATAAAAAATTAAAGTAGTCACTTGATCGGTCACCTTATAACTTTCGAATTATGACATCGAAAATATATTACACGAAATTAAAAGCCTATGCTTATTATAATAACCGTAATAATGTTGGGATTATATTTCTACTGATCTTAATATTAAAAATATTTCGCCATATTGTCTGCTGTAAATTATTCATATTTTTAAACGCCAATGTATACGAAACTCGGGGCATTGGAAATTCAAAAATCCGAATTGAGTGGAATGTAAACTGAAAATGATTGCAATATACATTTTTTTTCATATTAATAAATAAAATCGAATTTGATCTTAAACCCGGTTTATTAATGTTTCACAACAAATTAAACTTTTATTTATTATAAACCAGATTGCTATTAAAATGGGTTACTATTAAAATCGAGTTAACTCAAATTTAAGTTGAATTAAGCAAACCGATTATCTACCTAACAATAGTCATAACCTGATTGGTAGATATATATATGTTACTCGGAGCAATGCGACGGGTTACATACTAGTAAACTTTTAAAATCTTTCAGTTAATTTAGAATTTGAATTACAAATGTATGATATTAATGAAGATGGTTTAACATTAGAGAACGACTCAGAATCAAAGGATGGCATGAAATCAAAGAGCGATCCAGAACTAGGAGATGACCAGGAATTATCGTACACGAAACTTTCTAACATTCTCACCACATTTAAATTTACTGATGCGCAACTAAATTTGATTAAGGATAGACATGAAAATATATTCATTACGGCGCATTTGCGAAATACCTCAAAATTTGGAAAATTTGACTACTAATAAGATATATAGATTTTAACTGAAATAATCAACATTCCCAAGTCATCATGCGTCATTTAATAAATTCCTATGTCTAATGAGTGTGGGAAAATGGGTTAGCCCGTGGGAAAGATGGGTTAGACGCGTTATCAGTACAAATCAGGGGTTCAAAAATTTTTTTCGGGGTTTAACATTGATTGATTAATATATAATCTGGTAACTACAATTTAATTTTGGGTACCAAATACTTGGATTTGCCCGATTAATTTCGCAAATGCGCCGTAATGTTATTTGGTACGTTGCTGTGTCAGATAAATCAATTAACTTGAAGATATGATATATTATCGAGAAAATTCTAGCGAAATACCTCTGATGGAAATTCGTAATCATGGATTTACTTTCGTTTTCATTATTAGTAATATTAATAGTGATTATTCAATCCATGATATCGATGATAAAGAATTACCGATTAAATATGGTGGAATAGTTAAATTATTTTCTAAAGAAGACTATATAACGAATCAAAAGACTGAAAAAGATAAACAAATAACAGAAAAAAGCAATCAAAATTCTGATGATGGATATATTCTTATTCTCTTAACACTTTCAGGGATCTATAAGTATCATATAAAAAGTAAATCTATTAAAAACATACAACAATTAAAATATCCGGGAAGGACATACAATGTTCTCATTAATTAACTTTATTTTTTGGTTTTTTCAATTACACTCTAAAAATAGCATATGTTTGTATATGCACTTATATTCAGACGTGTTTAACTAAGCATTATTTTTTGGTTGATACTATTAAAGAAGGTATTGAATATATGGAACTTTATAATTTAAAGACAAACCATTAAGTAAATACCTTTCAGAGACCGATTTCACGCAAATCAATCCTGTTTGATATATGGCCTAATTATGCAATATCAAACAATGGAAAATTATTAGCATATCTATCCATTAAAACAATCAAAATATATTAGATAGAACGTGGTCTTGAAATAGCGGAGATTGTAGTGAAAAATATTGCATATCATGCGTATTTTGATGAGATTATAATGCTTTGTTTTTTTTGCAATGACGAGATGTTACTTATGTATTATAAAGACGAATGGGCTGTTTGTGATGTTTTCGGCTCATTACGGGATTCTGATAAATTAGAAGATCTAGAATTTATTGAGAAATTTAAAATGATATTCCCATCAAATTCGTTCATGGTCATTGATAAGGGTTATGAACTGGTTATTTTGGATGATTTGTTCATAGATAAATATTTGAAATATTTAAAGAAAATGGTGAACAAGATTGGAAAAAAGATCTCAATGATAGCATTCAAAAATTAGAATTAGATAAATATCACAATATGCTTGAACCCTGGAGCCATATTTTCTCTGCTGATTTAAGCCATCCACAATATTGTTTCTATCTTGATGAGAAAAAAGAAAAACTTCTTTTAATTGGAAACCATACCATTCAAGTTTGGTATAGTCAAGGACCAGAGGAAGGTCCTATAAAAAGATCCCTTGAATTCATTCATGTTCCTCTATCTCATTTGTCTTTTCCTGACACGGAAATTTTGGATAAATGGCGAGAGAAAAAAATGAAAGTAATAGACATTAAGTATTGCATCGGAAAATTCAAACTTAACATTCAAATTGAGGATACAGAAGGTTTCCTTCAAATTAAACAAATTAAAATGGAAGATGAAGATGATATTATAAATGTAGCAAGATATGCTTGTTGTGCGCTTAAATATTTTTCTGTTTATAGAGTAATCGAACAGGCTTTTGATGAGGAGTTCAAATTAAAATTCTATGATACAATAGAAGAAACGCGAAAAATAATTTTGAGATTTATTAGATTGCATCCAACTGAATGGCGATTGTTAGATATTCGCTTTGATTTAATGAGTGTTATTATTGAGCAGTAGATTATGAACTTTTAAATGACATCTTATCTTTTGGAAATTCAATTCATATACCTCAATATTCTTCTTGGACAGGTGGAATAAGCACAATTCGTACTGCACTTTCAGGTTTGTATGTGATTATTTGTAACTGTACTATATGCATTAAATATTAACGTTTTACCTCTCTGAAGATCGTACTATGCTTGCATGTTTTTTAGAATATTATCCTAATAATGCAGTTCATAATATCGGATGGATGAATACAGTTGTAGACATCATACCAGAATTATATGAGTGTAGTGAAAAAACTAATGGAAAAGAAAATGGTGATAATGTTTATGAGAATTAAACTGATTTGAATCTGATTTTTTATAAAATTTTATCCCTTAAACCGTTTGAAATTCAGGGCAAATTTGCCCTGAATTTTACTATAAAAATACTTCTGATCTATTTTT